TAGTTATTTATAATAATTTCTTATAACTTACTATATTTTATATTATATTCTTTATATTCTGTTATATATTCCCCTACAGCACGAAATATTGCTATAACATTGTAGAAATATTTCACTATTGTGAAATATTACAAATATTGTAAAAATATTATATAAATATTGTAGTTTTAATATTTTATAGAAAATGTTGCAAAATATTACTGCAATATCATAATTTGAATATATATATTTTAATATTCTAAAAATATTGCTAATATATCTCTTTGATGATATTCTATACTTATTAATTAATTTTAATTAAAATATTTAAAATAAAACTAAAAAATATAATAAAAATAATATATTTAAATTAGTAATTATATTCCTTCTATGTTCATCTCCCATGATTTCTTAGATCTAAAATATTAAGTAAAATTTGTAATTAACATTACAAAAGTGTTATTTTACTATATTTAAAATATCGATTTACTTGAATGTATATATAAACAAAGTTAAATGTAAATAAACTCTGTAAAGGTCAATTTCTTGCTTCTGACTTCTGATTTATTACTAATATCTTATTGTAGAAGGCCTTTAAAGGGTCGTCTACAATGGAGAGTTTTAGACTGTAACAGTAAGAAACTGACAAATCACAATCGATTATTCTTCTGTACTATGTCTGTGATTGGTCAATTTCTTACTATTACGGCCTACAACTCTCTATTGTAGACGGCTCTTAAAGCGTCGTCTACAATACAGTCGTAAGCCGTAAGCCGTAAGAAATTGACCAATCACAGACAAATCACGGAAGAATAATCGAAAGTGATTGGTCAATTTCTTACGGCTTACAGCTTACGACTGTATTGTAGACGACGCTTAAAGAGTCGTCTACAATGGAGAGTTTTAGACTGTAACAGTAAGAAAGTGACAAATCACAATCGATTATTCTTCTGTACTTTGCCTGTGATTGGTCAATTTCTTACTATTACGGCCTACAACTCTCCATTGTAGACGGCTCTTAAGGCTGCATTAACTACATTAGTAAAGAGCCGTCTACAATGGAGAGTTGTAGGCCGTAATAGTAAGAAATTGACCAATCACAGGTAAAGTACAGAAAAATAATCGATTGTGATTTGTCAGTTTCTTACTGTTACAGTCTAAAACTCTCCATTGTAGACGACCCTTAATGTTTCTTAAGTTATTTTTTATCAAACTACATCTTGCTGTCGTACTTTTGTTCCGACTTATGTGCAATAATTACCCAGCAAACATTTCGGTCACAGAACCATATCCATCCAGAGGTGCAAACTCTGACCCGCTAGCACCAAGAGCACCGAGGTGGTGGGAGCCACTGGGAGCACGCACACAAGCGAGAACCGCCGTCTGTGTGCGTGACGTCACGCTCGGCACTTCGGCTCGTGGAAGAGTGCAGACGTATT